AAGGAGAACAAGAACATAGCATTCAGCATGCTCATTAAAGTGCCACCAAGAAACAGCCAACGGCCACGTGCAGCCAAAAGCGCAGAAATACTAAAGGAAACGAAGACGACGGTCGTGCCTGTAAACATTTTATTATACAATTATTGTACATCGAATCATATTAACATAGAAAATATGTATATAGAACATCTGTATTTGTTCTAAGTGAAATAAACGCTTCTTCTAAAGTTCTTTTTTATAAATAGTAGATAGTTTAGATATTATGATCGATATTCTCATTTCGTGATAGTTTAATGTAATGATGCGCAATCTTTTAAAGGTCATTTTCAGAAAGCTACTTTTAGATAAAATTTTTCGAACACGTGTGTTTATATCGTTTGCATAAAATAAAAAAGATATGATTTTATATTTTCGACTGCGAGTTGGTTGAGCGCAAAAAATTCTCAGGTAGACTGTAGGTTGCGCATCACTGACTTAATTGATTATTTATCTAACGTATCTTTATTCTATAACGTATCTTATCTCTAACGTATCACCGTTTTTAAAATGTTTTATAAATATACAGAAATTCGTAACTCAATGATTTGTTTTTCAAATTTCGTGTACGTAAAAGTGGACTTCGGCGAAATCAATTTTACTTGAACTTTAGACCAAGTTGATTAATTTCGAATCAATGTAATCGATTGTGGGCAGTGCCTTATCTCAAGACGAATGGAAGCTAAAATGCTGGAAATAGCGCAAAATAGTTAAATCAATACGATTGACTCACCAACCAATGCTGTCATTACAATGCTCGGGTCTATGCTGACCACCAACTCGAGCAAGGGCCCCAAACCAAGACCGGATAGGAATGCGAATCCCAGGAGGTAGCCGAGACGCAGTTTTTGGTTTTTGCCATTGTCGGGTGTTGTCATCAGCGCAATGAGGAGGCCCAGGGTGCCGATAGTCGTTAGCAGATTGGCCTGCAGGAATTGCGTGTACATATGTACGTAAGCTCCAGCAGCCGCTGACACGGTGGACAGGGACAGACAACCGTACACATTCTTTAAGTGTTGCCTGACTGGTGCATTTCTGAAAACAGTCATTACTGTCAGTTAATTCGCTTTTCATTTCATAATATAAATTATTTATTAAAATAATTCTGCGAATATATTCTGATGCTGTAAAAGAAACATCTCATTTACATCTATAGAATGCATTGCCAGGATTATCTTTCATATATAGACTAGAATAGTTTTGAAATATGAATCTCTGACCTTATATGAAACTCAACCTCTTTGTAAATCACAAAGAGATAGAGATTTATGTTTCAAAACTATTACTCGAAAACAAATCTTTCACTCGTTTATCTAATTCTATAAATAGCGTAACACAATTTTCTCTTCTGCCTCTACGTTTCTCTCCGTATGCAGTCCCGGTCTCGGAACACATTTTATTATACAAAATAAGGCGACTCATTATTTTTTCAGACGCTCTTTTATTTCTTGCCTGGAAAGTTGATTCAAGGCCATTCGTAAAATATTTATATCAACGCACTTGCGATGTATTTAACTATAAAAAATTCAGTTGCAGCGTCACTTCATTGATGATACCAATCGTTAACCATATTTTTAAAAAGCGGCTTCGCTAATCAACCTGTGATTAATTCAACCGATAGAATTGTCTGAAAGTTTTCTTACATAACTAAAAGGGACCTAGTATTGAACAAAGGAAGATAGGAGGTATAGGATATGCCTCCTATAGGATAGGTAGCACAAGAAAATATGTTCCATGTTCTGAAGAAGTGTAAAGCGACAAAAATGAATTGGAGAAGAAGAGTTTGTAGTAGTGTTCCTATTATAGGAACACTACTAGTTTGTAGGGGAAGGGAAAGACTTGAAAACAATGAAGATAAATAATGCCAGGAAGGAGGCAGAAGGGAAGAAATAGATAAACAGAGAAATTTGCTTAGTTCGATAGTTTGATGATTCACTATTTAATATCGAAAAATGAAATTTAAAAAAGTTTCAGTTTAACTTTGCAGAAATTTTTCACATAGTTCGTACAAATGTCTCTCAGTCCACTATTATTTTTCAAAGATATAGATTATACAGATTAAATAAAATTGAATAATATAAAATAGCTTACACACAGAATAAAAAAAGTAAATTTAGTTAAGTAAAATTAGTTCTGTTTGTTTTGTTCGTCTGAAATATAAAAGCGCGATGTAATATATATAAAAAAGTATACATCGATGTGAAATGTAAAATACGAAACGTCTGGAAACCACCACCATCTTAAGCCGCAAAGTAAGGATTAAGATTAAATAAATAATACATAATTCGTTGTCTGTGATTAATCATTCAGTAATATATTATAATACACAGATCAATAAAAAACCAATTACTCTATCCATATCAACAAAATTCTACAAGCATCGAAAAATCAATCTAAAATAGCTAAAAATACTTAAAAAAGTTTAGTCAATCATCCTCAAAAAATGAGGCACTATCAATTCACGTAGATATTATCACAGATTTAATATAAATAGACAATAGAACAGGGCAAGATGTAAAGGACCGACCCAATTGGACAACATTCTCGAAACCGGAAATACTTCTCACTGTGTCATTTCCCTCTCCCTCTCTTCATTAATTCCATAAATTCTTCCAAGAAGAATGTTTTTCTTCTCAAAATTTTTGTCTATTCTGTCCCTCCTTTTTCCATAATCAAATTTACGAAATCTTGACCAACTTGATATCCGAAATTAGTTCAACCCCATAACAGATGTTCATCTTTATTACTGTAGATTAATTTTAATCACGGTTCAACTTACTTTTTTTCAGTTCTAAGAATTTGAGACAGAAAGAAGACACAAACATAGAGCAAGTTGAACCGAAATTAAAATTAATCCAAATATTAGTAGAAATCGGACAAAAGACTTGCCCGAGGCAAAATCTTTAACTACACAAATTCGACCTCGAACTGGCTCTTTACGTTAAAAACAACAAAAAATCAATAATTCCATCCACGTTGATGAAGTAGCGCGAGTATGGCTCTGTAAATTAATCGCCGATATGGCAATTGGAGTTTGATCGAAGTCGGTTCTTGTCGTTCCAAGTGCAAAATGCACGACGCAAAACGGGCTAAAAACAACACGTATGGATCTGGAAAAAAAGAACTCTATACAGGGTGTCTCAACTTTATCGCAACGTTAATAACGTTGGATGAGGTGGGGAGGGAACTGAAATCAATCTCTCTCCCGTCGAGGATGTTATCGGTATTGTCATCGAAGAAAGTCGCGAAATCTCTCCGATGTCATACTTTCGGCGTCTTTCGCTTTCACTATACATGGACGCAGATACGTCGCGTTATCTACGGACCAACGACGTCCGTCGTCATTCCAGAACACCTACCGAACATCTATCGAAGGTCATGACATCGTGCATGAATACGTGACGACACGACGTATGATTATGTATTATGATAAACGCTGTTCTTCTACAAGATATGGAGATAAAAAGAACAGGACGGATCGTCCCTGTGATTGCGAAATTGCGTCACGGGACCAAGTCTCGTAGGCTTCCTCCAGAGGAAGAGAGAGGAAGAAGAGGGGGGGGGGGAGAGAGAGAGAAACGCACAAACATATTTCCGTGTTCCCGATTATGTCGCCCGTCCATTCGTTTGCGAACGTGATACTCACAGCGTGCTGCTGAAGGAATTGAAGAAAGCATTCAGATTCAGGGCTGCCATAATTTTGCCGTCACTTTCGACTCGCTGGAGCTCAAACGGGGTTGTGGCTCTCTCGTCTCTCTTTGGGCTGGTTCACTAGTCCTGATCACTGACGATCAACGCGTTGCACGGAACGTTCCGCTCGCTTGCAACTCAATGACTGGCGATATTGCCCGGCTAATTCTATGCACGCGGGGAAGGCGAAGATTATCGGCGAGGCGAGTCGACGAATTACACGCACGTACGTAGTCGATCTCCGTGCGAGGACACGTCAGTGGTATTCCTACGCGTAGAAGCCAGCCGACGGGGCAGACGAGGATAGGAGAGAACGGACGCGACCGATTGGTCATGCGCGCCGTCAGCCCCCTCCCGCCGATCGCGCGGCGCCGCCGCCAGATGGCGGCAGCCTCAAACGCGCTATACAGTGTCCCAAAAACAAATGGAACGTTCCCTTTACATCTATTTGTACAAATATTGTTTAATTTTAATCAATTTTAATATCGGTTCAACCAATTATTCATCTTTTTTTCTAATTCCATATATTAAAAAAAGGTTAAGAGTAAGTTGAATCGAGATTAAAGTTAACTCCGATTAACTTGTCGACAATTCGTTAGAATTATTCACAAGTCAATATATAATTCTATTATAATCCAATGTACGTCTTGTAATTTTTAAACTTTTAATCTGTTGAACGCAACAAAAAAGTTAATATTCCATCTATGACAACGAAAGTATATATATAGAATAGTATAGATACTAAGTTAGTCATCAATTAAATTAATCGAAGCTTGATTGAAATTATCGTCAATCTTGCATGAAGGATATCCGCATTGTAATCAAAGTTCTATCATCGACATTCGTCTTTATCGCTTTCTCGTAATTTCCTGCAATGTTCTTCTGCATTCTCTTTTCCTTTGGCTGGCTGCTTCGAAAAAGGGAGTTTCGATGTGTATTTTATCTTTTCATTAAATCTTAATGACACGAATGTTCTGAAATATTACAAACTAATTTCATTCACACATACATAGATAACTTTGTCGTCATACGCTTGCTCAGCAAAAATTCGACTTTCCGATGTATTCAAATGTCCGTCGAATTACCGATAAATTTCTGTTCTTAATATCTTATCCATCTCTTTTTCATATAAATTAATATTAATATGTAATTATAAATCAAAAAGCATCGTAATTTCTTAGAAATATGATTGTTATATTCATATATTACATATATAAGCGCGTAAACATATATATAACATATAAACCAAATTTAAAAAAAAAAAACAATCCTGTAAAGGATACATATCCCCACAAATATGTTTGTTAATTATATCAGACGTTTTCAAACTTTATATGTTTTCTCCGGCTTTGTAATCACGTGTTTGCAACTTATTATAAAATACTATATTGTTCTCTTTCTCTTTTATCCTCCAATATCGTACACTAAAAACATAGTCTTCGTGTCCGTTCAACGTATATATTCAAAAATTACAATACAACTGTAAACCAACTTATGTAGGTCACACTACCGATTATATCTGATAAAAAAGATCAATCGTAACTAGAATACGCAGCTCCTTTGATACGTTGCGGTACTGTCCTTCCTATACACTCCGCTATGTAAAGCTATTGACACAGTTATTCAGTAGAATTTATTATAATTGCGAAACGACTAATATGAATGCCTTGAACGCTATAGAACTCTCATCGCAATAATATCAAATCGCGTTAATTAAGCAACAACTTTAAGACGGAGGACACTGTATTCTTCGAACATCGCCTTCTGATTGATTATCGCTGTCCTCGGACGAGCTGTCCATCGAGGAGTCATCAAAATGATAATCGTCGTCATCGTCTTCGTCTCGATTTGGATCCTCGAGTCCGTAACGCGTATAAAGATTCTAAAAAAAAAAACACGATGGAATCAATTTTTCGATATCGACAAAAGTGCCTGATATGTACTACTTACACGTACTCTCTCTCTATGACGGATATGTCTCAGTAAAATCCAAAGTAATTGGCCATCGAATGAATCAGGAACGTTTTCTTGCTTCCTATTTCTTACATTGGACTTGACACACTTGTGAAAAAAAACAGAACACGTGAATCATATGTTTATCGAAATGCAATTAGTCTATAAGTTTTTCTTATTTCAGGAATGCGCGCGCGACACAAAAATTATTGTTAAATGATATGATGAAATAAAGAGAAATACAAAACAGAAGATATTATGGAAAGATGATTTTTGTCTCTACGTACATTCGCGAATGATTTCATCATTGGAGGTTCTCCACACGAAGGCACCCATATCTTAACATCGTAATCCAAGCCACTTGTTGCGAGGATGGGAATATGTGGGTGTCCCTCTAAGCAATTTACCTAGAAATTAAATTTTAAAAAAGACCGCTATTTTCTCTACACTGTGAAAAGGAAAAATTTGTTCATTGAATTTATGAAATATGGACACTTACAACTCCTTGCTTGTCTCCTGCCATCCACTGTACAACGGCTTCCGTATTTTTGTCCCAAATGAATATATTACCGCAATCGGATCCAGATACAACATATTCGCTTTTAGGACCGAAGAAATTGACTCCCTTTACTGCAATCAAGTGACACAGATGACTGCAATATCAAATATTAATAAATCGGAATTACTGGCGAGTTAAAAAAAGATATATGGAACGATTTCCACAAAGAAATCTCAGCACAAAAATTAAAGTGCTTCACTAAATCCTGTTACTGTTAGTTTTTCTCTGTTGAAACACACAAAGAAAAGAGATAAAAAAATCTAGAATGGAAAGTATAGAATATAATAATGTAATTGCATTTTACGCAATTGCATATTACGTACCAGTTGCACTATTCCTATGACCCTGATATCTATGAGCATAATCTACATGTGAAGACATTAATCTATCAAATAGGTAGATGTCTTCGTCATTATATGACGCGAGAATTTCTGTTCCGTCATGATTATATACAGCGCACGTTACATGCGCGTGCTTATTTCCTGTCTGAGACATTTAAATTACATATGTAAAATTAAACACATGTAAAAAAACGAGCTACACTGTTCTATTAAGTTAAGTAAGTACTGTTGTATTAAGTATTGGTAAACTTTTTCAACCACAGGATTGTAATACAATAGGACGTACCAAGTGATCGGGGCACAGTTTATAAAGCGGCGTCGAAACTTTTCGCCGATCATATACTCTCACATAATGGGAACGGCCGCCGACACAAAATTCATTACTATTAAAAGGATTAGAATGTATACTGAATAGTTGCACTTCTGACGAACCTTCCTTTACTACAAGTAATCTGTGGATAAAGAAAGTCTTTTCATATATATATCTATTACACGAAAAATTAACATACGTAAATATACTGTGACTTATAGATATAATGAATAGAAAATAAACTTATTTAAATTTTTTCATCATAATGACTTACTTGTTTGGTTTGCTCTCCCGAATGTCTATGGAGAAAACCCTCGCATCTTCTCCAGCAGAAAAGACTATATGTGGTGTTTCAGGATGCACAGCCAATTTGTGCGATGGTCCACGATGCGCTGCCAATTTCTTCGACGTGTCGTGTTCAAGATCCAACAAACGTACCTGACCGTCTCTAGCACAAGTGACCATAAGATATTCTACGTCTAATGGTAACCATTTCGCCTAAACAATTAAATTAGGAAAATAAGAAAAATAAATATCTAATTACATGAATAACTAATAATAATAAATCTTTATAATTATGAAACACTCTAATCGCAATGCTTTAACTATAAGTACATACTTGAAACATATTGCTCGTATGGCCACTCATAAACCAGTGACGCTTTTTTCCTACAGCCCAATCCCAAATAACAACTGCTAAATCATCAGAGGCACTGGCTAATAAATTTCCTTTTTGATTGAAATTTAAGGCATTTACGCAACCCTGTGAATAATCAAATGTTAATACATATCACTAAATAATTATAAAAAATAGCCTAGCAATGATCCCATAAAACATTGTATAGATCAATGCATAGCGTTTACAAGGTGAATAATTTACCTGATGCTCGTTAAGATTATACATAAGCTCGAGTCGCTCTACTGCATGTAAAGAACCATAGAATCTTCTCTGGAATAACGGATTGCTACCTATTTGCCGATTTATCACTTCCGGTACAATACGCCAATTAGGAGGCGGTTTCTCTATTTTTAGGCAATGAGGTATTTCTTCGTCCTCATCCTCATCTTCCTCTTCTTCATCCCATTCATCTTCATTAGCTCTCCATTCATTCGAGTCAGCTGTCCATAATTTAAAATTTTACATCTTGTCAAACAAGTAGTGCAAACTTTAAAAAAGTATAAAATACCTCTTTCGTCTTTATATCGATCAGATTCGTCATTAGGCGTTTCTGATCCTGCTCTACGAGTTTCTGAACTTCTATTTGATGTTTCATTCTGAGCTGAATCATTTTTAGTACTGGCAGATGCAACGTTTCCTAAAATTATAATTATTTTCATATATAATTTACACATAATTATTAGTATTATCATATATAATTATTTAACATTATTAATATATTTTTGTGATCTTATGTATATATCATTCAACGAGATTTTTAAACACAATTATAGATATAAAAATTATAATTAATAAATATGTATAGTTACCAAAATTTTATACATTTACCTTCATCTCCATCAGGAATGGGAATTTCTCTTGTTACTTCATTAGACAAGGTATTACTAGAACTATCTTCATTATCGCTTGTTATATTTCGTCTCTTACGATAATTTCGCTGTTTCACTTTTGATTTGTTCCTTTGAAATGTCGCTGTATCGTCATTTACGTTTCCAGCACTGGTGTTACATGCACTCTTATTTAATTTCTGTCGCTTACTAGAATCTTCGTCTGAGCTATCATCTGATTTTTCTATCGATGTGCCACTACCGATATGTGCTTGACCTTTAGAGATACTTCTTTTGACTTTATTCTGATCTGTGTGCAATGCGTTTGCTTCGTTAGTATAAGAAGAAGACGGACTATTGTCTTGCGAAGTAGTCGCTTCTGATAAATCTGAATTAAAATTGGTAGTATATAAGATTTCTTTTAACACATCGTTAGTTTTGTCGCACTTATCAGTTGTTATCTTAATCTCATCCTCTGTAGAAAGTTCCATGGGCTCGTTCGCTTGTTCATTTTGCATAGTTTCACAAACGAGATTGTTATCAAATTTGACTATATGACTAGCGTCTTTTAAAGTGACACTGCTCTCGGATGTAACACTAGAACTGTCTATATTCCTTGAGAGGCTTGAATCTTCTAAAGAATTTGATTGCACTTTCCTAGATTCTTCAGAATCCTTAGTGTCAAGAAATTTCACCTCAGAATTATTATCGACATCATGTATCTTATTTTTGGACTCCATTTTATTTTCGAGATTTCAAATGTATTCCTCTTGTTTATTCAGAATGCCAGCAATCATCCTTTCAAAAAGGCACAATCTGCAGTTGCAACATGTCCCGTGTTTATCTAAAAAGTGATAATTTAAAAAATTCATATAATAAATAATGAGAAATCTCTTTACATATTATAAAATAGGTATACTTATTACATATAAAGTATACATATATACATAAATTGAAATATTAATAAAGTATGCATACATTTGAGTAAATTATTTTAAAAAATCAAGAAAAAAGATTATCTTATCTATCCGAAATCTATCAACATCTATCAAAAACTTTCTTCTTAATTAAATGGACAACTTCATTGCATTCAAAACATTAAGGTCTGTATTCAGAACACATATCAACATTATCGAATAATTAGTATATGTATAATCTATGTTACATATAATATATAGAATTTCAGAAAAGCATGCATTTATGAATAAATTCGGGCCTATGAATCACAAAGTATTCAGTATTAAATACAAAAATAACTTATTTCAAACTCGGCAAACAAATATCAAGATCTTTTTTTATAAAGCTTTACGTCACTATGACATTTCAAAATGCCAAAACATTCTTCTCGTCATAATAACTTTACAAAGTCAAAACTAAATTTAAAGTAGCTTGTTTATCTCTCGAGAAATTTCAGAAAGATAAAATATTTTCGTTATCGTAACTTTCTAAATATAAAACTGAATTTGAAATGGATTAATAAGAAGTATCCTGATGTAAATCTACAATGTAAATCACTGCAGAGAATCGCAAGTTGTGTTGAGGTTGTAGACACGGCTAGCACATCGTCCTTAACACAACTCTGCAGGAGAGACGTTAAAAAAGAAAGGGTTGCGTGTCTCGAGTCATGGACATTAATCGCGCAACGATGGAATACCGACGAGATCCCGCATTACATAAATTCGCCATTCGCATTCCGACCCCCTTTTTTCCTGCCCCTTCTTTTTAGCGGAATTATCTGCTAAAATGGCCAGCGACATACGTAATGCAACGCGTATATCGACATGACTATGTATGTACAGAGTTTCACCAAGGGATGTTGAGTCTTCTCAACTGTTCTCAACGATACGAACAAGACATCATTCGAGTGAAGAACGGGACACGGATCGCGAACGAGCGGCAGGACCAGCTGCCCCGTCGACGAGGTACGACGGGGTACTCACCTCGAGACTTTCACTGACGGAACTCACGGAATGCGTTACGCGGTATGGCCACACTCCGTTCCCAATCACAGCGCTACTACGATCACAATATGATGCACATACGGTAAGGTAAATGCACAACTCGTAATCCCTGACACCCCGACCGAGGCTGCGATAGCTACTGACATAACGAATATAGTGGCGGGAATTTAAGTCTGTTCTTTGTGCTTGAGCTAAACTAATGTATATATATATATATAAACAAATAAATAAATATGTAATTAACATTTAATGAAAGCGAGATAATAATAGGTCTGTTCGCGTTGCTTGCACTTTTGGCACTCGGCATCTTCGCTTTTTCTCTTTTCAAGGCCAAATATATATTTATCTCATTTTAAGTACAAAAATATTTGGGGATTTCATGCAACGTGAACAGACCTAAAGTTTGATGCAGTCCAGTGCAACAACAAAGAACAGGCTTTTTTCTCGACTTTTTAAGGCTGCTTTTAGGTCCACTTGACGCTACAAACGCTTCGAAGCGTTTGAACGACCAATCAGAACAAAGAATTTTACGAATTGACTAATCAAAGAATGGCTGCGTTCAGCAGAACGTTTGTTTTGCAACTGTTGGAAGTTTCCTTCGCGCTGATTGGATCATACTTTTAGATCTAGAAGAATGGTCCTATCTCAGCAGACAATCATAAAACGGTTGTAAAACTGTTGAGTCTGCTGAACGCAGCTAATGCTTCGAAGCGTTTGTAGCGTCAAGTGGACCGCAGCCCTAATCGTGTTAAAAGAGAACGTGAAAAGCGAAAAGGTAAAAACAACCAATCAGTTGTGTCAATAGGATCCATTGTCAGCGAGGAGATCGCTGATTGGTCGACGCGAAAAATTCTTTAGCACTACGCATGCACGAAGTAAATGGACAAATCTATCGCGTTCCCGTGATTTTTCTCCGATGTTCCAAATATTTCTCCGCGCTAATTCTCCACGAGTTCCACTTAACATTAGCTGCGTTCAGCAGACTCAACAGTTTTGCAACCGTTTTATGATTGTCTGCTGAGATAGGACCATTCTTCTAGATCTAAAAGTATGATCCAATTAGCGCGAAGGAAACTTCCAACAGTTGCAAAACAAACGTTCTGCTGAACGCAACCATTGACCCCTTTTACACCAAGCACTTGATACGCGTATTAACTAGTAACTTTCTATTAAATTATTTTAATTTCAGCAATGTATTTAAAGAATGATGTACTAAATTGGTAGAATATGCATCAAAATGATTAATTAAATACACATATGTATATGTTTACACGTTTCGCCGAAATTAAGATAATTCAATAGAAAGTTACTAGTTAGTACCCGTATCAAGTGCACGATGTAAACTAGGCAATTCACACACTCATGAGTATCATATCATCCTTCTTGGAGAGAGAGAAAGTACTAATGCTCGTGTCAGGCCGGAATCAGACTACGCATTGAAGATTGAGGTTGAAGATTGAAGATTGAAATTTGACCAGTAAGGACAAAGAAATTTTAGCTCCTTTCGTTTCGATTGGTCAAATCTGAATTTTTCAATATTCAATCTCAATCTTCAATGCGTAGTCTGATTTCGGCCTCACACTACGCATTGGAGATTGAGGATTGCGAATTAAGGATTAGAATTCGATCAATCAGGTAATTTTAAGTTTAATCCGTTTCGTTCTAATTGGCTGAATTCTAATCCTCAATTCGCAATCCTCAGTCTCCAATGCGTAGTGTGACATGGGCATATGGCCGGAATCAGACTACGCATTGAAGATTGAGGTTGAAGATTGTAATTTGACCAATAAGGACAAAGAAATTTTAGCTTCTTTCGTTTCGATTGGTCAAATTTAAATTTTTCGATCTTCAATCTCAATCTTCAATGCGTAGTCTGATTCCGGCCTTAGGGTGTTGTTCCACGGAAAACGGAATCGAAAAGGTGAAATGATAGGGGCAACCAATCAGCATCGTTCCGTTCCGATTCTAAGCTTGGCTTCCCATGGGGCATATTTTTCGGAAACAGAAATTTTTTGTAAAACCACTGCGACTTCTATTGTAAACCCCGTATTAGAAACAAGGAACAACAGGATAAGCATGAGGAAATAGGAAAAGTGGTGGAATCATAGATTAAGCGGCTGGACATTAATGCTAAAGGTGTAGTCACAATAGAAGGAATAAGGAATTAGGAATAAGGAATAACGATTTCAACTTATCAGAAATCGGATACATCAGAACACACGGTTTCTAATAGGTTGAAATCGTTATTCTTTATTCCTAATTCCTTATTCCTTCTATTGTGGCTGCACCCTAACTCTCCAAACAATTTATTTCCTTGCCTCGTGAAACCCTCTTCCAAACTCTGACTACGTTTACACGCACTGATAAAACCGTTTTAGTAGTTTCATTCATTAAAAAGAAATACACAGGTTAAAGTGTACCAGGAAGCAGCAGTACTCGACGATTAAAAAATTAATGAATTTTCCGAATACTCAAGTGTATGTATCTGTTCCATAACCGCATGCTCTTGAAAATAATTTTTATATGTTCGCAGTATGAGTTATAGCAATATCATCATATGTGCAAAACCACAAAAACATTATTATTCGACTTTAATTTTTTTAATATACATATACACAGAACAAAATATAAATATATATATTTATATGTGATAAAATAAAACATTCCGCTTAAAATGTATGCTGAAAAAAATAAGAGTAAATGTTTAATATAATGATCTCCTTTTCCTATAATTTTGTAAATTAAAAAGATAATTTTGAAACAATCTGTTAATTATATTTATATATTTTGATAATATCTTTTAATCATTTAAGTGATTTTTACATTTGGATTGACCGTTTAAATTTTAATATAAAATTTGATACGGCCGGATTTGAATCTGAAAACAAGCCGGATGATTATAAACTTTAAAATATCATCTGGTTTGTTTTCAGATTCAAGTTAAAACGATTTACAAATACTATGATACATTTATGATCGCTGACGTAATATCCAGTCGTATCAAATTTTAAGTCATGAATGTAAAAATAACTAAGAACGAAATGTGGACCCCTAAAATCAAATCCCAGGCATTCTTGCTACGTACTGTACAAGACCAGAAATTGTATATGAAACATAAAATAAATTGCAGAAAGATTTGTCATAATATTTTATCTCTTCGTTAAATCTCAATGATATGCAATTTCGACGTTCTAAACTATTACTAACTAAAAATAGCTAATTACTAAAAAAAATTTTTATGTACGATTCTTTAGTCGTCGTGCGCTTACTTAGCAAAAAAATCCCTGTACACAAGTGCCCGTAAAGTTATCAAAAAATTAAACGTATTTGCAACCTATTATAAAACATGTATTTCTCACTCTCTTCTCTCGGTTATTATAAATCATATACATACACTATCAAAATGTAATCTTCGTGTTTGTTCAAGGTTCAATAATTGTAATGTAGCAAACTTATGTGTATATAGTTCACGCTACACACCAATTATTTCTTGTTTATATAAAACATTAATCGTAAGTAAAAAAACGCATCTTCTTTAATACATTGTGCGGTATTATCCATTCCATAATCCACCTGCTGCGTAAAGTCATCCAGTAAAATTTATTGTAATCATGAAATGATCAATATGTAAAAAAATGCAAAAGTTATAAGCGACTCACAATATTTGACATTAAAAGAGAACAACGGCAAATATGAATATACCATGTGTTAAGTAATACATGAATAAAATATCTATTATTAATGATTTATATTTTTTTTTCCTAATTGACTATTTAATTCACTGTTTTATTTGTGGATCAATCATTGAACTGCACTCATTTTGCCGTTTTTACCTCTTAGTTATGAAAAAATATTTGGTACACTGTATATCTACCATTGATAACTACCATCAATGATATCAAATCGCATTAAGCAATAATTTTAAGATAGAGAATACCATATTGTTCAAAAGTTGTTGCCTTCTGACTGACTACCAATGTGAATGAAATTCATCAGAGTCGTAGGAAGAACTGTCATCATAGTGGAAGCCAAAATTAATGTTACTGTCGCTGATGGAGAGACGCTCATCGTCGTCGTCGTCGTCGTCTTCGCCTTCATCTGAATCTATTTCGCAAAGTGTATGAAGATTCTAGAAGAGACACAGAATAGTCAATTTTACATTCATATCTATGATATATTACTTTCACGAATTCTCTATTACAGATATATCTTTAAGCAAGTAATAGTAAGTAATCAGAGGAAAGAATCGTTATCTTCCTTTCTACTGCTCACATTGAACTTGAAGAATTTGTAGAAAACAGGAATGCATAAAACATATTTATGGTTTATCAATACAATTAATTTATTGTGTTTAATTTTTTGTATTGCTTATTTCAGGAACTTAATACAAAAAATATTATTTATTTATTAAATTATATAATAAAACAGCAAAAGAAACGTAAAAAAAAGATTATATACAAATTATTTTTATCCATACGTACATTCATGAATGTTGATTTTGTCGGAGGTTCTCTGCTCGAAGGTGACCATATCCTAACACTGGATCTGCTTGTTGTCGCAAGAATGGGAATATGCGGATGACCCACTAAGCATTCAACCTAATGAAATTTAAAAAAAGCTATTTTCTACAACCCAAATTACGAAACAGAAAAATTTATTTATGAAATGTACGAAATGGAAAAACTCAACTTTTCTGTTAAATAATATATTGCTGTCGTATAGTGTCAACCACTGTATAACAGCTTCAGTATCTTTGTCATAAAAGAATACTTCACCATCAAAGGATCCACACATAACAAATTCACTTTTAGGTCCGAAGTAATTGAGACTGTTTACTGCAATTAAACGACAACTTAATATAAATTATTAATAAATCAGAATTATTTAAGCATCACATCCAACCATATAGCGAATCAAAGATATAAATAGAAAGATTTTTAAACAGAAATCTCTCTCTAAATGAAATTTAATTAAAAAGTGTACTCTCTCTCTGAAAAAAGTTATTATTTGTCTTTTTCTGTTAAAATAAAGAGGTCCGAGAATAAAAAAGATATAAAGTCGAGAATATAAGATACAGTAACTGTATTTTATGTGTAACATACCTAATCTCAGGTCTAGAGCCGCAAATCTGGGGCTTTGGTACATATGAGAGTAATTTTTTTCACATGACCACATTAATTTATCATATAACAATACATAAACGTTATTTAACAATGCGAGAATTTCTGTTCCGTTGTGATTATATATAGCGGATTTTATAAACGCGTGCCCATCCTCTTTCTAAAAAAATTGAAATTACATATGTAAAATTAAACGCATGTAAAAAACAAATAGAGTTTTACTGTTTTAAGGGTTGATAAATTTTTTCAGCAATAGGATTAAAACAAAACGACGTACTACATAATCGGACGACAATTTATAAAGCGGCTTCGTAGCTTTTCGCCGATCGTACACCCTCACGCAGTATGAAAGGCCGCTGACGCAAAATTCATTGCTATTAGAAGGATTTAAATGTATACTATGTAGCCTCACCCCTGAACGTTCTGTTACTACAAGTAACCTATGGATAAAAATAAATGTATGTATTATGGAGATATATATATATATATATACACACACATATATACATATATATACATATTATAGAAGAAAAAAAAACTTATTGTAAAACTTAAAACTCGAGTTGTGCGCTTATTTAGAATTTATCAACTTATATCTGTTTCTATCACCGTAGATTAACTTTAATCTCGATTCAACTTATTTCTTATCTTTTTTTAATAAATTCCTAAAAATTAGAAAAAGATGAAGAACAAGTTGAACTAAGATTAAAATTAATCTACATTAACAAAAACAGCATTAGGTCTTAACAATGTAAGATTAATTTCGATCTCGATTTAACTTACTGTCTCTTTTTTTTAATTCTTAGAATTAGGAAAAGATAAAGAGTAAATTAAATAAAGAGAATTGAGATAAAAGTTAATCTTACATTGGATGAACCGAGCTTCAGCCGTTATTCAAGATCCGATAATCTGGGATACCAATCATAACGAGATTGGCTCGCATATAAATATGGAGCAATTTCGCGATACACATACTACGATAACTCTTGATACAAAAAATTAAAATTATTGTATGTAGACATGCTGCAAGTTATAAAAATATTACAAATATAAAAAAAAGTAATATAAAAAAATTAAACATTGTTTAACTTTTTAATAACAATGACTTACTCGTTTGGTTCGCTCTCCCGGATATCTCTGAACAATACCCTCGAATCAATTCCAACAGAAAAAACCTCATACGGTATTTCAGGATGCACAGCCAATTTTTCCGAAAATCCATCATGCTTCATCAATTGTTCGGATGTGTCGCACTCAAGATTCCATAAGCGTATCATACCATCTCCACCAGAAGTGACCATAAAATTTTCCACATCTAATGGCAACCACTCGACCTAAACGCATACAATTAAATTTAAAAATTTATTAAAGAAAAAGAAAAATAAAGTTAAATATTCATCAGAATATTCATCAGAATAATTGTCAGGCTAACTGTTATAAAACATTCTAATCGCAAACGCTTTAATAATCTTAAGTACACACATGTGACACATTGTAGATATGACTACTTGTAAAGCAATGACGCTTTTCCTTTGCAGCCCAATCCCAAATAGAAACTAAATCAGCAGAGGCACTCGCTAATAAATTTCCTTTTCTATTGAAATTTAAACTCCTTATGAAATTCTGTAATTAATAATCAAATGTTAATACATAAACAATGATGTAAGAATAATCTACATTGCAATAATCCCAATATATTAAATGTTCAAAATATTGTGTAGCTCAATGTGAAAGTTGTTTACAAGGTAAATAATTTACCTCACACGCATTAAAATCATGCATAAATTCGAGACGCTCTACTGCATGTAAAGAACCATAGAACCGTCTTTGGAATAACGAATTGCTACCTATTTGGCGATTTATTACTTCTGGCACAATGAACCAATTAGGAGGCGATTTTGTTACTTTTAAGCAATGAGGTATTGCTTCATCCTCATCCTCATCTTCTTCTTCTTCATTCAATTCATCATTGTTAGCAGTAGAGCATTCGTCCGAGTCAGCTGTCCAAAATGTAGAATTTTAAATTTTACCAAACAAGTAGTGAAAAATTTAAAAAAATATAAAAAACCTCTCTCATTTTTGTATCGATCAGATTCAACATTAAACGTTTCTGATCCTAATATGTTAATCTCTGAACTTCTATTTGATGGTTCTTTCTGAGCTGAATCATTTTCAGTATTGGCAGATGCAATATTTCCTAAAATTATAATTATTTTTATGTGCACATAATTTACATATAAGTATATATTAATATCATATACAATTTGACAAATAATTATTAATACATTTATTTATTATTTCTAGTATTATTCAACAAGACTTAAGCTCGAATACATATAAAAAAAATTATAAATAATAGTTATATATCTTTGTAATCTAAATTTTATTCCTAAGAAAATTACCTTCAAATACATTAAGAATGGGAGCTTCTCTTGTTATCTCATTAAACAAAGAGTTCCAAGAAATGTCCTCAGTTGTATTTTGTTCCTTGCAATAATTTTGCTGTTCTACTTTTAATTCATTTCTTTGAAACGTAAGTATATCATCACTTACGTTTCTAGCAGTTGTATTGCTCCCACTTTCATTTAATTTTTGTCGTTTACTTGAACTTTCATCTGTGCTACGATTAGATTTTTCTGTTGATGTCTCACTAGTAGCATATACTTCACTTCTGGAGATACTTCTTTTAACTTCATTCTGATTTGGATTCTCTAAAAAATCTGCTTGTACTTTCCTAGATTCCTTAGAATCTTGGGTGTCAGAAAGTTTCACCTCAGAATCATTATTGGTGTCATGTGTTTTACTTTCTGAATCCATTTTATTTTCAAGGCTTTAAATGTATTCCTTTGATTATTCAAACTGCCAACAATCATACCTTTAGATAGGCACAATCTGCAATTGCATCAAAAACATATCTATGAGTTAGTTGAAAAATAACAGATTAATTCCTACAACAAACAATAGACTTTGATTATTCATATTACCAATAAACTTGAATTAAAATATAAATAAGGTATGCATATATTTGAACAAATTTAAAAAGTAAGAAGCAGGATTGGGTAAGTTAAATTAAATTATCAAAAGGCTCAATCAGACTAAATCAGTAATTAAAAAAAGAGCTACGAGCCATATGTAATACAAAGAACATTTAATACCAATAACAAATATAATATAAAGAAAGTTTAGTATTACAAACGTTTCAATCTCGATCGGGTCATTTTCAATGTACATAGTTAGTCAAAGAATTCAGTAAAATTACAAAAATATATATTGATCACATTCCCTATCGCTCGATGTGTGCAGTCCATATGTAAAAGAATCGTTTTATGATCGACTTATGTGAAACTGAACGCGTCTTATGATTTCAAGATCTACAATTTTACAAATAATTCAAATACAAACAATTGCGTTACAGTTCAGATTAAATTTCAAGTATGTATAATTATATCGTAATTTAGTGCCAATTAAGTTACGTACATATATATATATATACCTTGATTTATCGTAGTGGTATGAGTCCGACAATAAGAGAAATACACAAAATAAGTTGAGTCACATCGGTAAAAATAAGCCATAATAAGTATATTGAAAAGAATACATGTATCGTCGACGATGTCAAGCGACATTATGAGAAGGAAACAAGGATACAAAGGAAAGACGGTGATTTGGAAGGGGGCAAAAGACAAAACTAAGAAGGGGAAAGAGATTGAATAATATTGAGATATGATTCTGGCAGAGAATCTATATCATTCTGTTTATTTATCCCGTGTTTCTGTCTTTTAATATGAATCATCTCCGATATCATTAGTTACTAAAGCTGATAAGGGGAATGTCACGGTTGGTCTAAACAAAGACGATTACATAGAAAAAATGGAGATTTTATCAGATAATAATACATACAAAGTTATCAATAAAGATCCGACAAAAAAACTTATGAATGACTTGCGCTCCTTGCTGGTTAGATGAAAAAGAAAAAAATTTATTGACGATTCCACATATCGAAGATTACTCATGACTGGTATCATTCCCAGAGCATATGGGTTAACTAAGATCCATAAAAAAGGTAATCCTTTAAGAATTATTGTATCATCAACAAACAGTCCCTTTTATCATTTTTCACTATTTCTTCATAATATCATTAATGATTCCATTTTGGAAGCCCCCAGTTATATCATGAATAGTTTTCAGCTTATTGAAAAATTAAAGGATGTTTACATTGAGCCAGATCACTTATTAATTTCATTGAATGTTGTGTCCTTGTTTATGAATGTTCCTATAGAATTAGTATCAAACAGTATTACGAAAAGATGGGAATGTATATCCATGAAAACTAAAATACCTTTGAATGAGTTTTTAATTGCTATCCGTTTGGTCTTAAATTCTACTTTTTTTAATGTTTAACAAACAAATAAATTTTACAAACAAATTTTTGGCACTCCTATGAGGTCTCCTTTATCTCCAATTGCTGCTGATATAGTGATGCAGGATTTGGAAAGAATAGCAATTAAAAATTACCATGTAAGCTCTTATTTTATTTTCGATATGTGGATGATATTATTTTAGCTGCTCCATCTGAGAGAATCACAGACATTTTAGAAATTTTCAACTCATTACATGGAAGATTGCAATTTACTATGGAGGTTGGTGAGGATTAAGTTTCTTAGACACGATGTTGATTGTTGAGCAGCATATGCTAGTTTTTGACGCGTATCGTAAGGCGACTTTTTCTGGCAGATTTCTTAATTTTAATTCACACCATCCATTATGTCACAAGAGAGGTGTAATATATGGATTTGTTGACAAAATTATACGTTTATGTCATCCTCGTTTCCAACAAAATAATTTGATCAATGCAATAAATATTTTTCTAAGTAATGGTTATCCACTGGATTTTGTTTTTTCTTCTGTACAAAAAAGAGTTAAGTTCCACTCTTTTAATAGCAGAATTGCTGACAAAAAAATTAGAAATTTTTCACAATACCTTACGTGAATTCGGTATCGGAAATTACTAATAGGTGCCATTGTAAATTGGCATTCTCTATACCAAACACATTAAAGAATTTTATTAAAAAGGGCAAAGACCAGTTAGATCATTTTTGCAATCAAAACGTTGTATATAAGATCTCCTGTGATGATTGCGATGTTAGTTACATAGGTCGAACTAAAAGACAAAATATCAATAGAGGTCAAAATCTCCAACGGTGATTACTAATCATCGTATTGACCAGAATCATAATTTTGACTGGGATAACGTTGAAATTTTCGACATTGAAGCTTCTTATAATAAGAGATTGATATCGGAGATGGTTCATATTAAAAGACAAAAACACGGGATAAATAAACAGAATGATACAGATTCTCTGCCAGAATCATATCTCAATATTATTCAATCTCTTTCCCCTTCTTAGTTTTGTCCTTTGCCCCCTTCCAAATCACCATCTTTCCTTTGTATCCTTATTTCCTTCTCATAATGTCGCTTGACATCGTCGACGATACATGTATTCTTTTCAATATACTTATTATGGCTTATTTTTACCGATGTGACTCAACTTATTTTGTGTATTTCTCTTATTGTCAGACTCATACCACTACGATAAATCAAGGTATATATATATATATGTACGTAACTTAATTGGCACTAAATTACGATATAATTATACATACTTGAAATTTAATCTGTACTGTAACGCAATTGTTTGTATTTGAATTATTTGTAAAATTGTAGATCTTGAAATCATAAGACGCGTTCAGTTTCACATAAGTCGATCATAAAACGATGCTTTTACATATGGACTGCACACATCGAGCGATAGGGAATGCGATCAATATATATTTTTGTAATTTTACTGAATTCTTTGACTAACTATGTACATTGAAAATGACCCGATCGAGGTTGAAACGTTTGTAATACTAAACTTTCTTTATATTATATTTGTTATTGGTATTAAATGTTCTTTGTATTACATATGGCTCGTAGCTCTTTTTTTAATTACTGATTGGGTAAATTCACTTTTTTTTAAACTAAGTTAAGTTAAACTTAATAGCCTTGAAAATTTAACTTAATTAAAATATACAAGTTAATCCATAATGAAATTAATTGAATTAAAAGTTCAGTTAATAAAAAAATAATTGAAAAATTAAAAGTTAAATTTGGTCCGAAGGAATAAAAAAAAAAGAAAAAGTTTGACATTTTACATAATTTTTCGTATTTTTCTTTTCTTGCATCATATTTATTAAAAAATTTGGTTATTTTTGTTCACAAGTAACAGATTATACAATATAAAAAATTACTAAATTATATATTCATTATCCTCTTGCATTGTGTCTGAGGATTGACTTCAAAAAAATCAAATTAAAAGTTAATAGTTACTGATAAAATGTAATTAAATTAAGTTAAAAAGTTAAAAGTCTAAAATGTAACTAAGTTACAATTAATTAACTTTTTAACTTAACTTTTATCTTTTTAACTTAGCACTATCCAACCCTGGTAAGTGATTGTCTATCTGAAACAGATAGACAATCACTATACATCTATACAAATCCTCTCTTTCTAACTAAATGGACAACTTAATATATTGGAGAAGAATCAAAGAATATGCAAAACTATGATGTATTTTGAGCTGAATTCTATTATGTATTCACTTGAGTACTATATATAAAAATCTATAGTTCACATTATAACTTAAAATATAAATTTTGTTTACTTGCAGTGAATAACAAACGCAACCTTAATATGGTAATAACATTGCTATTTATATCTTGCAGGTTATCTTGATTTAACATTAAATTAGTTTCAAATTTATTCATACTTTGATAATTGTTCTTTCCACACGAAGCACGGTTCCACATAGGTTTCCAAGTTTACACGTAAAGCGAGACTTAATTTAAAAAATAATTGACTGCTTTTTACGAGAGGGTGGGGGAGCGGGAATCCTTCGCACATACATATGTACTTAACGATTGCGGAGGGTTTTACTCCCTATCCTCCTCCGTGAAGAGAGAGATTCTGGACAATTCTCGAAGATATATACCTGGTTTATGCTTCGGTCTTGACTCTAAAATTCTAAAATTCAGCCAATGGAATACAGATTTCAGTTAGGACCAATTAAAACTGGCAGCCCTATTAGTTGAATTTTAGGATTTTAGAGTTGAGACCAAAGCATAAATCAAGCAATACGCTGGTGCAACATTATCGTAACAAATTTAACATGACAATTTTACCCAGCAAACGTTGAATGTTCCCAATGAAGTAAACAAAAGCCTAACTCCACAATATATTCTTTAAGCACATTGTAGATTAAAATAGGTTGAAGGGAGAGAAAACCACGAGGTAAAAACAGGAAACAAAAAACACATTGTAAAAAAGGATATTAATGTTGATCCGAGTGGAAAACATTCGAACGTCTCGACGAGCTCAAAGGAGACAGACGAGCCGCCCCATCGATGAAGTACTCACCTTTTTGTTAAACCCCTGTATGGTTTTTCCCACTATAAAAGAGTCGAAATGAAACGAACGAAACGGATCCGAAAATCCAGTAACAGCCTCTTGGTGGCTAATTAGACTGCAACAATCTCGAGAATTTCTGAATCTTGACGTAAGTCGTGTGACTGCACCGACTTCGCGTAACGAAATCCGAGACCAAAATCCAACCTTAGTTGGAGCAAATCAGCAACCTAAGGAAAGGAGCTTCCCTCAGGCACCAGACCTTTTTCTTTTAATTGCTTTTAACTTGATACTCGCAGCCCTTTCGGCCGCGATCTGGCCATAAACGAGTTGGATTGTAGAATGTAAATAGTCTTAAATTGTCGCTAGTATCGCTATGCTAGCGAAAGTCGCATGCGCGAAGTCCACCAGCCAAAGGGCTCGAGTCAGCCATATAGACTGATATTACAGACTGAAATTTTTCAAGTGTATTAATTGATCGCAGAACAGAGATCCGAGAATCTTTTTGTCCTACAGCCAATCACAGGCTTGAAAAGTTTGTCATATGACAAAAAATGAATATGTAATACACAAACAAATATATTGTCTAGGTGTTAACCAATGAAATTATAAATATTCTAGTAAATTCGCTCATTTTTATAATTTTCATCCGGTTTCAAGAACAGTCAAGCCCTAAGGCCGGAATCAGACTACGCATTGAAGATTGAGGTTGAAGATTGAAGATTGAAATTTGACCAATAAGGACAAAGAAATTTTAGCTCCTTTCGTTTCGATTGGTCAAATTTGAATTTTTCAATCTTCAACCTCAATCTTCAATGCATAGTCTGATTCCGGCCTAAAACAGTTGCAACACTTTTTTTAAAATGGGAATGTTTGGAATGCAGCCTACTTACCGAGCGATTGGTTCTTATTTATCAATCCATGAATAAGAACCAATCGCTCGTTGAGCAAGCTGTATTCCGAAACCCATCGAAAAAAAAATGTTACAACCTTTTAGGCCCCGACTATACTTTGAAATGAGGTGTTATTAAGGTGAACAAACCTTGATTCTTCCTGAAATTTCAAAACAAGGTTTACTTTTCAATAGGGATTTCGATATAAATTTTGGACACGTACTCGTTCACAATAAACATTGAATCCAAAAGAGTACTACTTATTTTCAGATTTATTGTAAAGGACAGTAATTTATACAGGATGTGAATTACGCGATACTGCTGGCATTAGATGCAATCCTTGGCCACAAATCTGCGCATTCCTTCGCAACAGGTCCCGTAATAGCTGATCCTTTCATTTCACCCTTATTGTTAACAATCACGCCAGCATTGTCCTCGAAATATATAAACGTCCCATCCTTCCTTCGAAATGGTTTCCGTTGCCGTATAACCACCGCGGGCATTACTGCAACAATATATGTTTATTCTAAATTCCTTGAAAAAGACATTTCTAGAGAAAAAAGAATAGAAGATAACAAGAGAGTAAAGTCTGCGGCACATACTTATTTTTCTACTGAAATGGTTGCGTTTTAGTAAATTATTAGAACAGCATCACACAAGGTTGTGTTTAGATTCTTACCTGAGTGCCACCCAAGTGTCATTTTACCCTTGTTGCTCACCAAATATTAAACAAGGATAACATGATATCTGGGAATCTGACCGCGCTTCAGAATTTAGAAATTTTAATAATTTTCCAAAATGCAAGCAGGAAAATATGCATCATATATAGTAAACTTAATTAATTTACCCTTTTTCCTAAGTTCAGGCTTTCCCTTCTTCACAGTGGCAACGATCATATCGCCAGATCCCGCTGCTGGCAGGCGGTTCAACCGGCCCTTAATTCCTTGCACTGCGATGACATACAGGTTCTTGGCACCTAAAAACAATAGTATTGTTAAAGAGGAATGTATTATCAACAGCATAAAAATTAATAAATGAATATATCTGCTAGAGTTAAAAATTATGACTTATATCCATTTCCACCAATATACATTAATTCTAATCTTGGTTCAACTTAATCACCACTTAATCATCATCTCTTTTTAATTCTTAGAACTAGAAAAAGATGAATAAGTTAAAACAAGATTAAAATTAATCTATATTGATGAAAACAGAAATTAAGAGTTATAGTACATTATGTATACGAAGCATATATTTTATATCACGTACTACAAAAAATTCCAACAATTTATATATATGACTCAATATCTACTAATTAATTTTTTCTGTTAATTTATATGAAATTATTATGTACTCTGTAAATATTTGCTTCCACAAAGTAAAGTGTTAAAAAGTACGTTCAAGAGAAAATGAATCATTATAGAAATAATACTAAATAAAATATACAACTTTACAATATTACAGTACTTTTCACTGATGCTTATAAAAAATGGTACTGGCTGCAGTCAACAAAAAGAACTGATCAGTGTTTAATAATTCTTTAATACGATATTGGTTCTTGTCTTCAGTTACTCGCTGATTCTAATTAGAAGTACACAGAAACCAGTCATATTAAAACATCACTGAGCGCTCACTGATCACTTTTCTCTGCTGAACACCCATGAATCACAAGTTACATTTTTTATTGGTATCTTTGTTCTTTTGCTACATCCTTATTCTTTTGACAGTTTGGTGTGCACACAAAGCTACAGTAATCAAAATTAATAAACAAACTGGGAAACACAAAATTGTCATAAATATACTTGATAATCGCAAACGATGGTGTTCAACCATGTGTTTCTCTTGCTCACGAGGTGTGTGGTTGAGGCTCTTTGAGGTTAGATATCATGTAAAAGGTATTTCTCAAACTCACCAGTGTTATCGGCGCAATTGATAACCGCACCGACTGGTAGACCCAAGGATATCCTGAACTTGGCTCCAGCCGATCCACCACGTCCTTAAAAACAACAAATAATGCATTGAGACAGCGGCATTAGAAGGACCATTCTTTTATTTTCATGAATACATCGTTAACGAAATAACGTTTCGTCCTGTCGCATGCACGGGACGTGCTTTCGTCTTCCCGTGTTTTCGCTCGGAACCGATGAATCGTCCCGACATCGATTTTCTCGGATTTTAATTGTTCGAAAACAAACTCACCTCTTTTAGACATCTTGGTTATTGGAAAGGAAAACTCGAGCGTCTCCGCAACGTTCGCAGCAGAACGAGAAATAAGAAATATCTCTAGCTGCAGAATTGCCCCCGGTGGAATAAAGTCCCTAATAGCATTTCCACTAGGAAAATTAGTGGGTGTATTCCGAATCGTTAGCTTAGCTTATTTTTTACCCTAGATGTTGGCAGTTTCGTAACCAGAGAGAAACCTAATGCGGGGTTTACAATAGAAGTCGTAGCGGTCGTAGGGTCTTAAGTCGTAGAAAATTGACCAATCACAGTTGAGTATTCTTCTCATATTCGACTGTGATTGGTCAATTTTCTACGACTTAAGACCTTACGACTGCTACGATTTCTATTGTAGACCCCGCATAATTTTCCCATTGTGGTACTTTGTTATCTAGTGACTTTAGTATCCTGCATACTATAGGCCATGCAGGTTATGAGCCACGCGCTCTATAGGGGTGCGTTCCAATACTCGATTCTATTAACTCCGAGTATCTTTTATCCTTGTTCAACTGTCTTCAATATTCGGTAAAGAACAAGGATAAAAGATATTCGGAGTTGATAGAGTCGAGCTTTGGAACGCACCCTAGGTCGAACCGGCTGAACGGTTTTGGCGTAGCTCGAAAAATTTATTGTACGCTAACGCCCTCTCAGGAATTTTGACGGCTAAACTGAGAATTAGCAAGCTTACATGATAACAATCGAAATGCAGTACCAGTACCGATAAGATTTCATCGGTATTGAAACGCAGTCACTTGGTTTATAGTAAAAAAATTATTTTGAATCGGACTAAATGTTTCTTATACATTTTATATATTGAAAACGACGTAAGCCAAAAAATTGTATCATATCAGGTTTCCAAGGTAATTGAGATTTAATGTGTAAAAAATTACTTTTCTGTAAACATTATTTTGCAAAGAAAATTATCAATATCTTGAAATTTCGATTTGAAGTCATGAATATATTGTTTCTCTATGAAATGTATTTTTTTTTTTTATGTTAATATCTTAATCTTCAGCTAGGTTATGAAAAATCGATTTAAATATACGGTTTCTTTAAAATAGCAAATTTTTTATGTATGATGATGAAGTCATAAAATTTCTTTTTTTATGGTTCGATATACATATGCAAAGTACACAAATTTTATCAGAAACATTTTTAATGCATTTTTTTTTAAATATTCGTGCTGGACAATTAAAATAAAATACCTTTATATATATATATATATAATATATGCAGTATGTGTATGTACATACACTACATATGCATTTTGCTAAATCTGTAACAATAAATTATACTGTGTATTAATAGCCACAAACTAGAAATTATAAGTATGTATGACTTCATTGTTATCTATAGTTGAAAAATTTGTAATTTTAGAAAGACTTCCCATACAGCACCGATTATTTTGGAAAATTTTCAGAAATGTTTCAATCTTTCACATTCAATCTCATATGCAGTTCTGAAAGAATTCGTGCAATATGTTATATAAAATGTTTTAACAAAAGTTTCTAAAATCTATCATATGCAATAATTGAAAAACATATTTAAATAAAAAATCATCGTGATGTTAAAAACCAAAATGTTTACTAAGTCATTTTTTTTGACAATCACGATTCAGTTTAACGTCATTTTGATACTATTGTATGTGTGACTTAGTCTACTTTAAAGATGTATTATATTAAACGTATAGTCCTAAAGATAATTAAATTTGGGAGAGAGAGTATCTTTAACCCTTGAACATCACACTTACGGTAACCCAGTCCGTTTGAAAAAACGATTTTTTTTTAATTTTGAAATTTTCTTTTTTTTCAAAATATATTGGTTACCGGAAGTTTTATGATATTCTTATCTATATATTCTTTTTCCTTACTGTCTGTTGTATCGATTTAAAAAAAAAATTTAAAATTGATGCATTAGATCCTGGGATAAAAGCAAACGAAGAGTCCAGGGTTACCGTAACCTATGTGTAGTGAAATCAGGTAGCGAAAATAATGGCTACGTTTACACCGTGCATTTAGGCCGCGGCCTATACAATAGATGTCCTTGTTTAGCCTGTATATTAAACAAAGACACCTATCATATAGATCGCGGACTAAGCGTACGGTGTAAACGTAGCCAGTGTGGTGTTCAAGGGTAATATTTACACTCTTCAAATAAACTATATACATATGAAAGTTGTGTGAAAGATTATATTTTTGTTTAATAAGAGATTCTTATAATTTATTTATTTGATTTGTTTTTTTAAATAAGAATTTAAAAATTATAAAAAAATTTACATTTTTCAAGTACTTTAAATATGTAAAATAATTTATGCAAAGCTTCATTACGATTTACTCATTAGTTACAAAGATATAGAACAAATATTTTGTTTATTTACTGGACAACTAATATAAAATAAACAATATAATAATGAAATTATACTTATACAAAATAAATTGTATACAAGTTGAAATATAATTTGATACTCATTGTGCAAGATATACATTGGGAAATAACATATACTGAAATTGATATATTTCTTTGCATGATAAAATGTATAACATACAAATATAATCTATTTTTATTTTAATTTGTTTTTTAAATAAAAATAATACGAAACGGATAATTTTAATATTCTATACGTAAAATAAATATATGTATGCATTTTCCAATTCCATGTTGTCAACGTTGTATGTTTACCTTTAGAATCTCGAATTATAATTATTCCGTCTACGCACGCACGCACGCACGCACGCACGCACGCACGCACGCACGCACATACGGAGGCAACATTCTTTATATAAAATTATCAAAAAGAAATAAGACTATGAGCCATAGGTCAATCAATATATAGTCCAAATTAATAAAATAAACATAAACATAACACAATAAACTTTAATAACTGCCGACAATAAACAATACAAACGTTTCGATCCCTATCGGATCATTATCAATGTTGGAAAAGAATACAATAACAAAGAAAATATATAGAATTAAAAATTAGACTTCCCTCTCATCTCGCAGTACTTCCGCTAACATATTGAAAATGTACGATGCGAAATCGTACGTGTTACTCCGTTAATGTGCAATGTATGATTTCTTAAAACGGATCATAATCAGACAAATGCGACGAGAGTGAAAAATCCTGTGAAACAATTCTTTATGTAGTTCCAAGCCATAGGAAGCTTAATTATTTTTAAAATAGGAATTGCTGTTCAGTCTGCCGTGATGCTATTGCTACTTGGAAAATATTTACATATAGTACTATCATCATGGGTAGTAGTATCATGGGAGAAAAAAAATAGAGTCCTCAGGACATAACAATCCTATTACGACATCTTTATTTTGCACAATATTACATTTGTTTTTTACAATAAATTCATAATAAAAATACTTCATAATAAAAATATTTGCGTATGCATCATCTAGAAAAAAATTAGAAAGTTTAATGCATATCATTACCATTCACCTGAGAAAGTTTACAATAAATTTCTGTATCCTATTTATTACAATATAATATAAAAATTATTGTTATCAAAATGGTATTCCAAACGATTTTGGAACATTACTATACGATTATGTTCAACGTTTTGTAATTTATCGTTGTTCACTCATATATTTAATTAAAATAACACTTTTTGAATTACAAAAAGATTATGAGAAACATCGCTGATTAATTTAAAATTTTGGAAAAGGTTTGGTATTAAGGAAGTGATTCAATACATCTTTCAAACTTATTCTAATCATAACTGCGTTTTTAAAAAATTAAAATTTATATTCACTTACATAATGACTAATTCATATTCACTATAAAATTTACATATATTTATATAATCTTGCTTATTATATTCTCAATTATATTTTTTATTAATTTATTTATCTTATATTTAAATTGGTTTTCTTTTTCAAGATAATATCTGTACAATATATCCACTATCGCAAGTTTGAAATCACATAGAAAATTTTCAGATTAAAAAGGATTTTTTAAACATATAATTATAATTAATCATATAAAATTAAGAAAGATAAGTCTGAGAGGAAATGGAATGAGAAAAATATATCATGCGACGTAAGTATTATAATTATTTAAGTCTGTTATGATTGAGTAAAATTTAACGGTTTTGAATAATTAATGTAAATTAATATAAATACTTACATGCTCACACACATTCATTCATTAATGCATTCATTGACTCATGGTGATTGTTTCTATTATATCGCAAATTATTAGTATTCAATGTAGAATTACAATTTACAAATTGATGTTCTTGTGAATGAATGATGATAAATAATACAATGAATTTTCATTGGATTCAATAATTGTGGAAATATGTTTGTAAATATATGAGGTATTCAATGTGGAGTTGGAGATTTTCTTCGAAGATGCCATTTGCTTCTTGTTTAAGATAATAATATAATCTGAAATTTTAAAAATTATAAGACACTTTATGTAATTTATTCTATAGTTATTTATTTTAATTAGTTTACGCGTACATATATGTATGTGCCATCTCTTGCAAAACTCTCAAAACTAAATCACACTCTTAATGATTAACCTGCAAGATGCAGTGTAAAGGCCACCACACGTACAAAAATTTTAGTCGTAAGATCGCAAGCAAATCGACCAATCACAATCAAAATTACGATCTCGCGTTTTAAAACGCTCGATTGTGATTGGCCGATTTGCTTACGGCCTTACGATTACGACTAAAATTTTTGTACGTGGGATGGCCTTTAGTCAATATAAATTGACATCAACATAAAAATATCACGTATTGAAATATACCATCTTATAAGAGAATGAAATATTTTAGAATATCATTGCGGCATAAAATATTATTTATACAAAATTTAGTGATAAATGCCACAGTACGTGGAATTCGCGCTATTAAATAATAGGGCAATGAAAGTTGCTGATGTAAAAGATTTAGAGACTTTACTAAACATCAATATTAATAAAAGCACTTTTGGTCGGAATTAATATTGTAAATGAAGTAGAGATCTGTTAAGTCCGTTATTTTATGATAGCATTCAGTAGAGAGATACAACTTTTGAATCATGTATATACGTTGGGCAACTTTATTTTCTCACATGTTAGTAGTACTATCGCTCATATACCGTACAACGTTTTAATATAAAATATAATGTATAGGAGGTATAAAAAAAATGCAACCTTTCAATTTATATATGAACAAACTATTTAAACTTACCTGTTATAAATTATTGATGAAATATACTGAGAACGGCAAATTGCATTGATAACAATGGAAGATTAATTGACACGTAGCCAGCGGAACTACCTGTAATTAAATTAAAATCTTTAATAGTATAATTTAGTTTATAGTTACATTTAATTTTACGCAACGGAAGCACGTGTGCGTGTGTGCGTGTGTGTGCGTGTGCGTGTGCGTGTGCGTGCGCGTGTGCGTGCGTGCGTGCGTGCGTGTAGGTGCGGGTGGAGGTTGATTAGAAATCTGGTTATAATCGAATACCTCGAAAGAATTATATTTAAGAAAAACATTTCAGATAAGATGTAGGGCTTAAAGGGATCCTAAACCGATTACCGAACTTGATCGAAGTCAATAGTGCAGACCTTTTTAATTCCAAATTCGATAATAGTGATTTTTTATTCATTCCTTACATTATATTATATATCATTCTGTCTCACTTAAACACATACATCTGTCCTTATCTAACATATGCTAGCACCATCGCAAGACCGCGCAACTACTACTACACGGAATTTCGGCTCTGTTGACATTCCTAAAGCATCTTCACAAAGCATCTGTATACACGTATTTTCCATTCGGTGAAAATACTTTTATTCTAGACTTTCAATCTTAATTCTACAAACTCGGTATCGTTCGTTCCAGTAATGTGACCTTAGCCGCACGCTTATTTTCAAGATATAGACTATAAAACTCTTGTATCAAGCAAATATATACCTGAGGTGACAGTTGTATGAGTCAAAAGTAAGTGAATTTTTTAAATCTTTTTTCGATTTTCTCATGAAATTCAGTGCATCGTTTTCCTTTCATGAGTGTTTTGAGTTTTGGAAAAAGGAAAAAATCAGAAGGTGCCAAATCTGATGAGTAGGGTGGGTGGGGAAGTACAGTCGTGCCATTTTTGCTAAAAAAAAGCCATGAAAGGAAAACGATTTGAAACAATTGAAGCCATAAAAGAAAATTCGCTGAGGAAACTGAAAGTAATTTCAGAAAAATCCTTCCAGGACTGCTTCCAGCAATGGAAACATCATTGGAACAAATGTATTCGTTGGGGTGGAGACTACTTTGAAGGGAATAAAGACCAATAGCTTGTAAGTAAAGCCTGCAGTTTTTTAAAAATAAAGTTGACGAATTTTTTGAACAGACCATATGGGATCTACAGTTTAACGCCGGATCTAAACGGCGCTGGTGATCAAAGATCTCTTAATCACCAGATGGAGCCATTTTCGGCTCCTTAAACGCGAAAAATCGCGTATGTGGGCGTAAGTGAGATTGAACTTGGATCTACAGATCACGAGTTAATCGCACTGAGCGGCAAGCCACTCGACGCACTCGACGCCCGTATATATAATAGCAAAGGCAAATGTAAAGGAATTAATCATTTAATTTTATATATTAATAATAATAAACTTAGAATTTAGATTGTTATATTTATAAATAAAATCTTTTGTCTGAGGCGAACTTTTTTCCTCAGATCGCGTGTCCTGATTTAAATGAAAATGTGGAGTCTCTTGCTTCGTGAGACGAAGCATTGACATGACTTCTGGGATACAATATAGGAATTTAAAGAAAGTTACTCCACGTGAGACCTCTGCTCCCTGAGGAGGTTCACAAGATCCTTGGATCCATTTTTTATGGTATTGTAACCCTTTATACTGGGTCAGAAATAGACCAAGTAGGGAATTTAGAAGAAGAAGAAGAAGAAGAAGAAGAAGAAGAAGAAGAAGAAGAAGAAGAAGAAGAAGAAGAAGAGCGCCGTATAATCGCCCGCCGCGGACGATGACTTGCGCTAATACACCTTCTTACCATCTATACGCGTCCCGTAATTCGCTATTATAATTGTACTATTTTTCCTTATAATTTAAAAGCTAAGCAATTAACACTTTATAAAGGAATAATCATCTTAGAATTAAGTCAGAACTACGGTGCTTCAAGGACAAACGGTTGTTCTAAATCTCACTGTACATACATAAGCATGCACGTGTACGTTCATGCACATATAGAATATTCGGTAACGACTGGATTACCTCTTGTGAGCACGTACAACGGATTAAACTGAATTGAAGAATTGAAGAGTTCTGTACCATTTTGCAATTGTCACGAGCGCGATGCTGACGCGACATATTATAAAACAAAATATAAAAGTTCAATTGTAACGTTCGACCGTGATATTACCGCGTGATGCTGTCCTCGAGAGAGTACCGTGAAACGTTGACGAGAGACGACTCGTCAGCAAGAGAATGACGATACGGTATAAGTGGACTGAAGCTCCGATTCGAGGTTCATTGGTTGATTCGCTCTCAGTCCGGATTTACGTAGGGACAATAAGTCCGCCCGTCGATTTGTAACGCGTCGGGAGTATCTAAATAACTGTAAACACAAGTGTAATAAAAAAATATCTTTTAATATATGTATATTCGAATTCTACAGTGTGTAACTTGATTAACACTCTGATCCCGACGTCCTCGCGGATCTCGAACCCGTTGTGCCTAGCTGGCACAACATAATGTTCAATAGTTAACAAGGAATTAATTACTGAAGCGCGCAGAATGAACGCGTATTCACTCGGTCAAATGCAAGTGATCACAGACCATCGACTTGTTTTTAATCATGAATTTGATTGGAATAGTGTCCAAATTCTTGATATGGAAAGATTTTTCAATAAATGTTTGAATTCTGAAATATCTCATATCTATATGCAGAAGAATGGACTTAACTTAAGAACGGACACGGATTGTTTGCATTACTCGTATGCTTCCTTATTGGACACGTTTAAACAAAATTGAGATCTGAACTGTTTTATGAATTGACACTCTTAGTATTATTTATTTTCAGTGCTTGTTTAGAAGTTCCCTTGTCACATTGTAACGTTTAATTTTAAACACGTCACAACGAAATGACACGATTTTATAATCAGAGGAATGAGATCTGTATTAATTTATATTTTAACTTTTAAAATCGTAAATCAATGTTTCTGAACTTCGTTTTTTGTTTCGCATTGAGGTGAGTCACACGATTTTATTACTGATTTTATAATTATTGTATTGTAATAGCAAAATTGTAAAATGTAGCGTAGTAATTAATGTATTTTTGTCATGTATTTTGCTTACATTTGTCTGTAAATGATTTGCTTTCAATGTAGGATTTTATATTTCTGTTTTTCGCTAAGGATAACTCCAAAGTGAGCTGAAACGTTCAACGCAATAAGTGAGGATAACTATTAACACCTGAGTATTATCTGCATCTCCTAACTCGTCGCTCTTATATCAGCGTTAGATTCTCATTAGCCTTGTCTGAATTTCTATTTTATTGTTTTTAACGAATAATGAGTGACGGCTAAAGCCTGTTGGAGGTCACTCAGGGTCATATGACCTTGACAACATATGTCGAGGTCAAGGTCGATGGAGCCCCCTAGGTCCCCTAATCAGTACTTTCACCGTCATTTTCTTTCGCCATTCGTGTTGCCATTCCCGACATTTCCTGTTGTAGTAAACAACTCCCCATGCGCCTAGCTATCTACAAGGCTGGACAATCGTATTTCATCGCGCGCTTGCATTTGTCAGTAGGCAGGGTAGATTCGAAAGAATCTTTAAGAATTAATTTTTCGTTAATTATTGCAAAAATTGGAAAATAATACAGGACAATTCGATTCAGTTAAATTTGCTTTATGTGCTCATCAAAGGTGATCCGATCATTACCGGAAATCATATATATAGTGATAAATTGATCATCTAGAAATAAACTAAATCTTACCATCATCATTATTAGACTTGCCTAAGGTTTGGATTTCCATTTTACGGTGTAATTTCGTTGTAGTAGTTGATGTAGTAGTAAACGTTCCTGCACAACAAATATTACATTTTATATTAGTTCAGTAAGTAATTTACAAATATATAATAAAGATATATAATAAAATAAGAATTCATAAATTAGATTTTGAAATAAATCGAACAAAAGATAAAATATCTCTTAACACTATCACGGTAATTGGTGCATAAATTAATAAATGCTTTCTTAACCTATTAACACGCAGAAGACAAAATTTTTTGCTTGACTTCAAAATAATTTTTAACATACTAAAACATGAAATATTTCAACAAAACTTGGTATCCTAAAGTTTTGAGGGTCGCTCTTCACGACGGTGTCGTCAGAATTTCATTTCGACCATGTGGAAATTAAATATGGCAGTATTCGGAACAAAAAAATATCGAAAAAATGATCGACTTTTTTTCTTTAAAGATTGTTTTCGAACTGATAACAATTTTTTTAATTTATAGCAAGTACACCATCGGTTGTCAAAGTAGTTGTACTTTAAGATCCCATGGTGAAATTTTTCAAATCCATCATGGCGGATCCAAAATGGCGATCGAATTGATAAAATCTTGAAAATTTGGTGTTTTTTCGTACAACTTCATCAAATTTGAGTTATGTTCAACATGTTAAATGTATACAACCACAGATCTATGATTTTGAAGTCTATATCTTTTACATTTACCTCTTTCAAAATGGCGAATCCAATATGACGGACTATAAACTCGAAAAATCGCTAATTTTTGTATCTTTTTTTATTTTGTATACCGTTTAAAACCCCAATCTTCAAACTGTTAGAGTATTAGGAATGCGTGAAAATTTGGAATCATTCCAAAGATTCAACATGGCGAATCCAACATGGTGACCAAACAACTCCAAAAATTCAACCTTCTTTTATTACTCCACCCATATTCATGGCGCTATTATGTTCTTATATTTGTGTCCCTTATTACCCAGTACTTGATTACCCGCGCTATGATCGCGTCGGTGAGTGTTTGTCGTCAGCAGAATGCTCCTGTAGGTCTGAACGTCGTCATCCGTGTAGATACTTTCTTGGGAAATTTCATGAAAATTAAATCGTACAGGCCTGATGTTCCATCATATTTTTTCCCCTCTATAATTATCCTCGATTTTCGCGGAGAGGAGATCACCGTTAGATTGCATGTACGATGGCGCTAACGTGACATGCTTGTGCTGAACGAACGGTCGAAACAGACGAGAGATATATCTTTTAACGGAGGGAGACTACACCCAGAAAGAAACTCACTGCAGCCAATGTTGCATTTTTAAAGTCGTTGGATTTTATCGTACGAAATGGCTGATATCTTGAATATTACCGGTGAGCCGATCTTTGACGACCGCACCGTCAAGATTGAGACTCACACGTACAATCCATACGCCAACACTACGTTTGGACATAGCGATGAGATACGGATATTCATACAGCAGCAGGATTTCTACACGTTGCCGTGCGAAAGTTTTCTTTACGTCGAAGGGAGATTGACGGTGAAGAAGAAAAACGATCGAAGATACCGACGACGCTTGGAAATAATTGTGTGGTGTTCATGTTTGATGAAATTCGATACGAACTCAATGGCAGTGGAAATTGACCGCAACAGAAACGTGAGAATTACCAGTACCATCAAGAACTACGTATGTGTCGCTGACGTACGACAAATCTTTGATTGCGCTGAATGCTGGATGGAACTCTAGATCCGACATGAAGGAAAGATACTTTAATTTTTGCGTGCCGCTCAACATACTGTTGGGGTTTACCTTCTTATGTTCCTCTTCGAATCATACAATTTTTGTTTGAAACATTTTTCCGTATCTATCATAATTTTCGAGAAATCTTAATGCATTATTTAAAATGGGACACCCTGTATATGAGTATACATGTATGTTAGTTGAAATAAATATTTGTTACTAACCAGCATAATAGACAGTCCTGCGAGAAACGTTGTATAAAGCTGTAGATATGCTGAGCAAACATTTAACAATCGTTGTTTCTGGTAAATCTTCATCCAATAAGGTGACACGCAACAGGATATTGTACAGCCCGTCGTCACGCAGTTTTATAGTGGGATTATCAGTTTGTCTCTCCGGAATATTTCTGCAATATCAACATTACATGAATTGTAATTACGAAGAATAATATAAAGCAAAAATATTTACATTTTAATAAATTTCATGTTTTAACTCGTTTTAAACAAATATTTATTTAGAAAAAATTTTTTTCAATAACTTCGGTATTGTCGTTTGTTAATTATAAAGATTATTAATTATAAAGATCAGATTTCAAATAAGGTTAAAAAATTTGATGTTCTTTGTTCATTCTAAAATTATAAACAATTAAAATCGATAAATAATATTATACCTTCTGTCCTTTTTTCTGACCAAAAAATGAGAACTTTGATAATACATTTAATTAACACGATGCTACAAAATAACAAAATTAAAGACAAGAATATAAGGGGAAGTAAAATAAAAAAAGTAGAATAATTTTGAAGTGACATGGTGTAGACCTAATTGTACAAAAAATTGTATTATTCAAAAAATTTCTCAAACACCCCCAAAACCTCGTTTTTTGATTAGAAAACCCTTTTTGAGTAGAAGTATGTACATGAAAAATGATAACTTCGCTATTTATTATCCAATTTCAACATTTTTTATTACTAAAAAAAGGAAAGAAGGACCTTTTCAATGATATGTTTGATATTTTCTTACGACGGAAAATGGCTGAGCTATGTATGATCATATTTTTTCGCGATAAGTTGTAAATAGTTTATTTTGTAGTTCTTATCTTTCGTTTATTTACATATTTCTAGGATAATGAATTCCGCATTTAAAGGCCCTTGAACGTAAAATAAGATGTAATACTTAAGCAGTAAGGAAATCAACACGTTGGATTTGATATTTCTCATGATACGATCTTACGGTCTGTACTGTGATTAGTTGATTCGCTTACTTCTTAAGGAGGTTGGACTATTACTTTGGAGTAAAAAATGCGACTGAAATAAATTGTCATTACAACCATCCGTATCATATGCAATATTAGTGTAATGAATTGTGGATACTATTTATGTGCTATATTATTAGTAAATTATTAGAGTATAAGAATATTAACAAATGTATGAGATTATCAATGACTCGGGAGGTCGAGTATACACACGGCATACATTTGGCAACATTGCACTTCGCGATGTGATGGGCAGTGATCGGTTATGGCATATGATAAGGGAGAAATTTAGAATCAGTATAAAAGTCAAGTTTGTATTATTTTCATATCTGTTTCTTTACGCCGAGATGGATTCTAGGTTATATGAAGTTAGTTTCGTATCAACTGTGCACTGCGGCGTGGCCAAGTCTGTTACTACTATTGTGATGTATGATCCGAGAGGTAAAGGTAAACTTTGTGACAATAAAACTTTAAATTCATACGATAAAGTTCTATTTTTCTTTTCTGTACACAATTGTTGATATTCATCTGTCAAGTCGTAAGTTTTTCAAAATCCTTTAGTTGGCTGAGTGTATACTAAATCGATGATTATCTACTTCGGAACGACCGCCCCCCAAGGCGATATGCTTAAAATGGTCAATTTCAGAATAATACCTTGATCAAAAAGTTCCCGGAATTCATTCAGAAAATTCAAAATACAAGTTTATTCATCAAAAGTGATATTGTTCCCTTCAAAGTACTCCCCATCGACTGCAACGCACTTATGCCAGCGCTTGATCTAGCTCTCGAAACATTTCTGGAACTCTATTGTCGGTATAGCCATCAGAGCCGTCTTCGATTTTTCCATTACCTCCTTTCGGCTGTTAAAACGCGTTTCCCCTAGTGGTTTTTTGACTCGATCGAACAGAAAAAAATCGCAGGGAGCTATATCAGGTGAATTCGATGGCTGTTGTATGGTATTCGTTTCGTTCTTGGTCCAAAATTTACGGATAATGATGGCACTGTGCGACGGTGCGTTATCATGGTGCAAATTCAACTCCATTTTTAAAACTGTAAAAAATCGAAAACACGTGCGATGTACTCAAGACGGCGTAACTTTTACAAATGTCAAGCTATGGCGATAAAATTTGATGGAAATGTCAATGATAGATGTGGCAACTTAACCAAAAAAAAACAGAACTCAAATCAGCTGACTCAGAGAATCACCTGGTGGTAATTCCGGGAACTTTTTGATCAAGGTATTACAAGAAAACTATACGGTCAATATTGTTCAAATTGTGGGATTATTTGTGTACAATATTATCATATAAAAAAATTAAGTCTTTAAGTTGGTTTTTGACTAACAGTCCAACCCCCTTAAGTCTTACGGCTTAATTTTTCTATATGCAATGGTCTTAACGCATTCTGAGTCATTAAAATCCATTAAAATTTGACTTGTGAGTCATCAAATTTTTCATGAAGTCACGTTGATTCAAGACCAAAATAGAGAGCGCCAAGGGTCTGATTCGGGCAGGCACGCTTTGTTTACAGCTTTGTTTACATCGTTGATAAAGTAGTGTCTTCGTGTTGTTTTTTAACATGCTTAAGGTAATACTACCGTAACAATACCGTTCAAAAGTTTAGGTTCTGTCGCGGCGCTCGGTGATGATACTTCACTCCCGCCAAAGAGAGAAAATTTTCGAGTGTACCTGTCCAAGGCCACACGCACACGCGGAAAGAAAATGAATAGACGCAGACTAACTCTGGTGTTGCCAGATGCTCGCTGGCCGTCCCCTCCATTCTCCACCACTCCCTTCAGTTGTCACAAAAGCCAAAGAAAATCGAAACATTGCGTTCTTTCCGCGGCTCTATTTTCTTAACTAAACGCTCAAATATTATGACGTTTTTTTACAATATCCGTTTCATGTTCCTCCATTGCATGCTCGTTTTTTGTAATAATCCTAAGACTGGTATGGATGCTATAATTAAAAATATGGCGTTAACTTGAGTCGCGTATATGCATCACATGTTAAAACTGCATATTTTAATTGCAATTATCTCAAAAACTAGACGGTCAATATGTTTCTAATTGCACACAAACATAGAGAGCATTTCAACTTACTTGTATTTCAAATTTTAACACATTCGTAAGAAAATCATTTCATGCTAGTGCTTACCTTAAGCCGAAAAATAACATTATTTCTCATAACTAGCGCCAAGTTAATCCACATAATCTTATGTATCATTCGTATAAGAGATTACCTTTTTAAAAACAAGGTAAAAGAAGGCGTCAAGAATATACGTGCTCCTCAAAAAGAACTTAACCCATACAGCACCGATTATGATAGAAAATTTTCAGGAATGTTTCAACCTTTCACATCTCATGTGCAACAATTTTGAAAGGATTCTGTAATATGTCATGTGAAATGTTTTAACAGAAATGTTTCTAGAATCATATGCAATAAATTGAAAAATATAACATATTTAACAGAACAAAAAATTATCATGATGTTAAAATGGCTCCAAAATGTTTAATCAAGTCATTTTTTTTTATCAACCACGATTCAATTTATAATAATATGATTTTCATGTTATTGTGACTTGTTCTACTTCAATTGCGAAAAATTTCTGTATATGAATGACTTATTCTGCTTTAATTGCGAAAAACTTTTGTATATGTATAATGATATTGTGTGGAAACTGCAGGTGTGGTTTTTTAATAGTGTATGTATATGTGCTTACACACATAATATCATTAATTAATCAAAATAAATGGCAATATGATTACTGATATTTTTGAGAAATACTTCAAATTTATTTTAATAAGTTTTGTAATCTGTAAACAGATCACAAAACTCTTAATAAATTTTAAGTACTTCAGAAATGATATTTAAATATATGATTTTATTGCGAAATGCGACAGACGCCCTATAGCCGTGCGTGCTTTCCATGCTTCTCTCAGCGGTATATCGCACACGAGACCGTGGTCGAGAAGGCTGGATATCTTCTCTTTATTTAATACGGTGCACTCCTTGTTAATAACGGGCTACGGTTCTCGAAAACGATTATCGCACTCATGAATGCTTGCTCGCGACACGCAAAATACGGCATCGATCGATGTTTCTTGATCGATGTCAGAGATCTATCTGCCGTTCGTAGCGTAGACTTACCAACGCTCACGATGGGGCGCACGCGACTAGACGCAGGCGCGACTCGCACTACTTTCTTACGCGCGCTACGAAGGATAACGACGCGACGGGAAACGGATTCCCGTAAGCAGGATGAGAGACGCTAGAGGAGCATATCGAACACGCCTCTGCCCATGAAAGGACTGACTTTCAAAACGCTTCAAATTAATTCTTCTTGAGAGTTGCGCTAGAAAAAATTAAATAAAAGTTATTGTTTTAATTGCACTCATGTGAGATCGCGGTCAATGAGACGACCAAAACTAAATGACGCGGCGTTTATAATTAAATGTGAAATGAATTTGGATCAACATAATAATGGAAATTCTTATAAACTAAATACGCATGCACGTGGCTAATCAATATACTGTAAAGAATACAACTTATGAATTACGTTTCTAATGGCAAAATCGCCAGTTTAGATAAAGGTCTAATAATAGAACTCTTGGCGGTCTGGATTGTGGCAGCTCGCGCGACCTTGTCGGCACCCGAATGGACTCCTCGTACGCGCCCCAAGGCCCATTTTAATGGCGCTAGATTTGGCTGTTTCATGAGGACGAGCTAATTAGGCAGCAACTGAATGCCCTTGTTGGTTCTCCACTTGGAAAGCAATTGTAAGGATTGTAAGTACTTCGTGCTCCACCGGCGCCAGAAGTGCTGCCGAATCTGCTCGACCCTTTGCCATCTAAGCAAACGATTTTCCGGAACGTCTCCGAGATCCCTGGAAGAAAAGTTCGTTTAGTGCAGTGCCAACCAAGAAATGTCCCGGGGTAAGATGAACCAGATCGTTTGGGTTTGAGCTCAAAGCGGTAATGGGTCGCGAATTAAGGATTGCCTCTATTTCGCAAAGAACGGTTTGTAGCTCCTCAAACGTTAAATAAGCCTTGCCAACGATGCGAATCATATGTAATTTTGCGGATTTAACCGTCGCCTCCCATAATCTGCCGAAATGAGGGGCATGTGATGATATGAAACTCCCAAGATATTTTC